GTTAATGTTATTGTTATAATTATTAAAAACAATTAGTCAACGATTTGTTCTTTTATATCAGCAACGGATAAGGAAATCCATTTAATATGGCATTCATCAATATAACTTGATCGGTATTGATATATGCAGCATCAAGTTAGATAATCTCACAGACAATGTAAAATGATTGTACGGTCTTTTATTTATCAGCAATTAAGCTAAATCACGTTTTTTTCATGAGACTCAGTTGTCTATATTTTCCTGAATTACTTATACTAACAACAGCAGTAAACAGCAATGTCTTATGCAATATCAACCTTACAAGGGATACCTATCCTATGCTGAGAAATATTTACGATAATAATAGCGATGACTCTCATTAGCAGAGTTTGATTCTTCAATATGGAGATGTTAGGGTTGTTGATGTATCTCAGTGTAAGTACTATTTTTGTACTTTCTTTGTTTTTGTGTTCCTGTAATGGAATATAACAAGATCTTAATTTATATTAATCATAGGGGACACTTCCTATTACAAATCACAACACCGGATACAGAATTGACCCTAGTCCTAAATGTCACAATCTTTTATAACATGTTGCTTTTTTGTTTATCTCAAATGTATTCGAAGACTGCGATATGAAATGGTGAATTCAGAAGTGCCTGTGTGCAAGACTTTGACACAATTTGTATACTGGAACCTATATTGCAACCATATGATTTCAATGATATCGTTCAATATTAAAACAAGTAGGACATACTATGTAGGTATGTAGCTTAAACAAATGATACAAGGAAATTACATATATAATATTTAACGTGGAGCAACCATTATGCGGTATTATTCTCTAATATCAACTCCAATATGGTACTTACCGTAATGTGTACCTGATTTAGGATTGTGCCTACTCGAATTCTGACAGGCATTGTTTTTCAAACATATTTACAAAACTGTATATCGGTCAAACAGATATGTTCATCAAAAATAGACAGTCGACATTCTCCTCCTCTGCCTCCTCCTCCTTCTCATCATCATCATCATCATCATCACCAATCACTTACTCCTAGATGTCGTTGAGGAACCACAGTTGACTTTACAACCAATGCTCTTCATCTTTCGCTGTTCTCTACTGCCCTTTGGGAATCTCCAAATCTCATGCCTGTCACTTTCTTGATGTTGTCTTCCAACCTATTTTTCTGTCTGCCTCTTCTTCTGCACCATCACAGTGAGCCTTGCAAGATTGTTTTTGCCAGTCCAAATACTCTTGAGATATGACCGTACCACTTCAGTTTGCGCTTTTTTAAAGTGGTCAAGAAGTCTTCATATGATCCAATGGCTCGTTGGATTATGTTGTTGACTTATTCATTGGTTACATGATCAATGTATGATATGCCTGAGATCATACGGCAGCATCTCATTTCAAAAGTTTGAATCAGTCTTTGTATATCTGATGTGGGCGTCCATATTTTCATAAGCATACATAAGATGGATATCACATTCGGGAGCATCAGCCTTATTTTGGAACCAAAATCAATCTTGGTATTTTTCCATATTGGTCTCAACCTTCTTATTGCTTCTGTTGTGTAGGCAAATCTTGCAAAGTAAGTTTGGTTTGGTTACCTCATCTGTATTTACAGCTTGTGACTCTTATCAGCTTCTTTCCACTGACCTTTGTTTCTGCATTGATGCCATTGGTGTTGGTTAACGTCAGCCAGTTCATTTTCATCTCTTGTTAAACAAACAATATCATCTGCAAAGCGAAGGCTGGTGATTGTTCTTCCTCCGATGCTGACATTACCTTTGTGGTCATGCAAGGCATCATTCATGATCCTTTCCAGGAAAATGTTGATTAATGTAGGGATCAATATACATCCCTGTTTAATTTTTAGAGTTGTTCGAGACCAATCTCATATGCTGCTTCTGATGAGGACAGCAATGGTGACTTTGTGACAGAGGTGCTCAACAACCTGCATTAGGTGTGACTATGTAGGTTTTGTTCGTGTGGCTATGTAGGTTTAGCATAAATGTAGGTTTCCTTTCTTGGGAATCACAATGACCAAAGATTTAGTCCATGTGGTAGGCCATTCTCCTGTCTGCCATATCTTGTTGAAGATTGTTGTTAGTGTGTTACTATCTCTTCTCCTCCTGTTTGAATGAGTTATGCAGGTATGTTGTCAATGCCGGCTGACTTTCCTTTCTTTAGTAACCTAACTGCAATTTCTGCTTCTTCACGAGGAATGTGGTTGTCATCAATTTAATCTGCCTGAACGCGATGTATTATTGCTGGATATCTTTTGGGGTTTTACGTCATTAACCGGTATTCGTAAATGAGATCCCAAAGTCAATTGCTTGACTGTGATTGTCTGGCTTTTACGGCTCTCCATCACTCTAAGTCTGTATAGCGCCATAAAAAGTTATATGACAAAAATAATACTCGAAATAATATATTATGAAGAAGCGATAAAGACACAAAACACAACTACAGTATGTTCGAAATATATGAGTTTATGATCAAAGGGATAATAAAATCCAACAATTAAAAGCAAAACGATGAGATGGTGGGGGTAAAAAATGAAGATTCACAATTATTTGGTAATGTAAATTATATGTTTGAATAAATAATTAGATTTGAAAGGCACATAAGACAATCGATAATATCACATTGATATGATATTTCATAACTCTTTTTCTGTGGATGTCGCATCTATTATCAGAAATAATATGCATAGAATATTTACATTTAGGGGGTCACGTTGGGTCAACAACGATACGTCAAAGTAAGAAATGAAACAATGTCTTTGTCAGTGAAGTAGTAATATATGTTACATTGGGATCACATGATAGACTAACACCAAGTTAGGGTCCTAGAACGTTATGTAAAATAAAGCTAAAATCTTCACAAAAACCAAAACCAGTGTTACTCACAGTACCAAGCCCAGATACCTAACTGCCTACTCTCCCACTTTGTTATTGGTTTAGTAAAGATTAGAGATAAGGGACTTTGATTGATTTAACATTTGTGCCTTATCCAAGGGCATGGACTGGTTTAGGTGCAGTTAGAATAATCAAGCAAATGATGTTATATCAAATTATATCTAACTACAACATTTAACACATATCCAGACTAATTTTACAACAAGAACATAAAAAATAAGAAAATATTAATTGATTAACTCTCTCTCAGTTTGTATACACACTGTTGACGCATTAAAAATCTAACGCCGCAATAATTCCTACATGACATTTGTCACAATACCCAACGTTGCAAGCGAACCCAACGAACTTGACCAGTAAATGGGAAATAAACTAAAATTTGTTAACAATTTTATTATTTCGATCAATTTTAAACATTGTCAACACCTAGTTTTACCTCATATGCAATTCACAGATATGTCAAAAAGTGAAAATACGAAAATACGATATATATATGTATATATATATCTATATATATATATATATATATATATATATATATATATATATATATATATATATATATATATATATATATATATATATATATATATATATATATAGATATATGTATGTATGTATGTATGTATGTATGTATGTATGTATGTATGTATGTATGTATGTATGTATGTATGTATGTATGTATGTATGTATGTATGTATGTATGTATGTATGTATGTATGTATGTATGTATGTATGTATGTATGTATGTATGTATGTATGTATGTATGTATGTATGTATTTACGCACGTCATATACAAACCATTCTTGTCACATGTGTTAGACTTGTTCATGTATAATCAATTACCTAAAATAAAACGCATGTGGTTAGCAAAAGCCAGTCTTGTTCTGCTTGAATTTTACAACAATTGTAAAAACAAATAGCTGAGCTGTATAATTAATAGAAACTGCATTAGATAAAACTGTCCTGACACATTACTAATGATCAATTGACGTAAATGTTTTCCATTAAAATAATGATTCGTGTTCTAGTTTGTTGCACAATTATAATGATGATATCGAGTGTTATGTGATTTTTTATTGATCTCTTTTGGAGTCTGTAGGAACTTTTAATGGATTGCAGTGTCGTAACGTTTCAATCTTAATCTTCTTAAGCTGTTTCGCTTCGTTTAGAAAAATGCAAAGATGAATTAAATGTATCTTCATTCTATCATGATTAGATATAAATTTGATTTTGAGAATATAATATGTAGGGAAGTTAAGTAATTTAATAAACTGATTATGATAAATTTGTTCAATCAGTTTTAAATATCTTTCTCCGCTTAGAATTCATTATAGATTAATCTTGTTCATTTGATAATACTAGCATTGTTAGAATCAAAGGAAACTATCAGGTTCGCCCATAGTAAGCATTGGTGTCGAATAAACCTATTTCATAACCATTATAATAAAAAAATCAATGAATACATTCAAGGTTGAAGACTCTGATTGCGAATGAAATTTTGATGTGCAAATAGTGTTAGTGTCATAAATCTAGACAATAAACTGAAAATCGAGTAATGGTGCAATCTACCTCAAAATTGTACGCATGATTTGAATTTAAAATAATGACAAAATGGGACATTTAAACGTTTTTTGTGGATTGTTATAAACTATTAAATATGGGGCTGAACTGAATAACTATAAACAATATAAATGATATGTTTTTCTTATTCATATTGAAGATAGAACAAATTTAATCAATGCATATTAAACGTTTCGTTTGGAATCACTGTTTTTAGAGTAAACGGCGCCGTCATCATTGCAAATTAAGTCAAGTTAAATTAGCATCAAAAATCAAAACAGCTTGCACCTTTAAGATAAACATAAGCAAATACGAATTAAAATTTTCAGTGGTATCGTTACGATGTCTGCATTGTGGGAGTTTATAGTGATGTCTAGCACTGGAGCATCATGCCGCAGATAAGTAGCATGATGTCCCACCCAGTCACATTATCGTGACACCAATACGACCAATCCTAACACTAATCTATTAATGCTGAACGCCAAGCGAGGAAGTTGTTAGTACCATTATTGTATGTCTTTGGTATGACTCGGCTGGGGTTCGAACCCACGACCTCACGCATTTGAGGCGGACGCTCTAACCACTAAGCTACCGAAGCGGTTAGCAAACTAATGAAATAATAATTCAGAACCGTCAAACCTCGGTTTAAAACAAATTACTTGATTTAATTGAAGGTTCTTACCATGGTGAGGAGAAAGCAATATCATATCAAATACCTACCTATAAGGTAATTTTTATATATCAAACAAATATATTGCTGACAACATGTACAAAATGTGAAGTGTTGTTAGATGATTTCTTACGCCCAGAAATATTTCGTAATAATGTAGTTAATGCTCTTTATTTTCCAGAGACTCGTAAGTAAGATGCCACGTACAGGCCATTCCATGTCATTTACTATATTTATGGGCAATATACTAATTTGTTTACCCCCATATTTTCAAACAGTGTTAACTAAGAAATGACGCACCAAAGAGTATATTGCTAACTTAAAAATAAATGAAAATGTTAACTATTTTATAGAACTTAGTATCTGATGATGATTGGCAAAGATCTTCAATCAACATAAAATAGTAAGTTTTTAACTTGTTGATAATTTATTATGTAACCATTATTGAAATTATTGATCTTTAACATATTCAACCGATATTCAATAACAATTATTATAATTAGGTTGGCAGAAGTTGGTAGAGGTAAAGCATTTGCTTATTATACATTAAGTTTGAAAAGCACAATTTTCACAAAGATTAATTATGGGTAGATATTGCTGGCTATCAGTAACTGTATCTTGTTGCAATTATCTCGGTTTATGAGTAAGAATATACTGCTTGACGTTTCAAGATAGTGATATTTTCGGTGTTATAGAATGCAGAGTTCGATGAAAATTGCTGTTAAGCCTTTAATTAACTACTCAGAAAGAAATTTACGTCGGAGTATACTGAAAACATTTGTTACTGGCAAAACAACAAGAACAAGAACAAGAACAACAATAATAATAATAATAATAATAATAATAATAATAATAATAATAATAATAATAATAATAATAATAATAATAATAATAATAATAATAATAATAAGTTGATAACAGATTCGGTAATTCAAAACTTATTGACCACATTAGTGTTAACCAACTTACAATATTAGTGTTAACACATTTACCAGATTAATTTCAAGAGATGTATGACATTAATGTCAACACATTGACAACAGTAATGCTAGCAAGTTCACAGGTTCGATTGCAACAAAATAAAATACATACATTCAGGTATTCGCTCACAGGATCTCACATACTAATTAGCTTTATTAATATTTCATCAATATAGTTAAATAGGTGAAGACAAAACATATGCACATAGTAAAATACACATATATACGTACTTCACCATGCCGACAGTCATGCAGACAAATGCAGAATAGAACGCTTACATGTATTTATGACGAAGAATACACAATCGTACACAATCATAGATACAAACAAAGTCTAGAAACACTCATGTCTTCTTTTAGTTTGTAAGGTGTCTAGGCTCTTACAAAAAGTAACAACAAGAAAAGAGTGAAGACAGCAAACTTTGAAAATTTTAGCAAATAATTTATTTCCCTAGAAAACCAAGGTAGATATGAGAAAAAAACCTTACGGTTTTAAGAATAAATTAAAAAAAGATAATCCAAGAATTCAAAAATAGAAGTCCTACTTTTAAAAAGTCCTAAAAGAATAAATGACTTATGAAATAGTCAGCGTTGTAATGATGTATCAACAGTTCATTGTTGAATCACAGATAATTTTATTCCAGTTTGGAATTCCAAATAGTTTTCAGTGAATGTCTTCGTCCAAGAATTATGTATGAGCACTTGTATTTTATAGGGAAAGGAATAACTAATTATATAACTATATATTATTATTGAACTCAAACGGGTCACAACATGACACCTTTAAAATGTCAACGGCTTAAAGCCCAACTGGCTAATTCTTATAAAGAAAACAGTTATACAATAAGTTAAGACGTTAAAAATATTTCCCATATGAGGGTCAAGTGGTCGTCCTTCCAGAATGAATATATGTTTGTTTATGATAATTATCACGTACTCCAGGTATGGTCTTGATTACACTAAATAAATTTATTCTTTCATAAAAATTTAAAAAAAAATGTAAATATAGTAGTTTTGCTAGAAACCTTGCTAGTTCTGAGTCAAAGTCAGCAACCAAGTACAATGTGTATAGTACTGGATGATTATCAGTAAAATAAAAAAGTCAAGTCAAACAGAACTGAACTGATTTTTAAAGCAAATATCAAATCCAGTAGACAACTTATCATTACAATAACATGCAATGGAATAAAAAATTTAAAACTACCAAACGAATACTTAAATTACATATACACAACAACTTTTAAACGGCTAACACACTCACATTATCACTGATGTAATGTAAAAACATGGAATTGAGAGACATTAATGTACGTTTGTTTAATGTAGCTTTTAGTAAAGCAGGAAATGAGAAGGGGTATTTGCTAGTACAGTATAAGTTTTTTAAGCGGTCAGTTCTTGACATCGGAATCTGGAGTTCATTATCAGTAGTTGCTCTAGTATCTGTGTATATTTGAACAAGATATATATATATATATATATATATATATATATATATATATATATATATATATATATATATATATATATATATATGTTGCATTAAGTTTGTTTAAAAATATACATATAATCATTCCTTGAGAGTAGATATATTTTTATGGTAGTAACCATTATAAATGCGAGAACACTTCGGCGGTGGCGTAACACAATAGATGCCATAATTCATAAAATATATTTAAAATATATGCTATAGCCACTGGTACAATATTGAATTGTTCCTGTAAGATAAGTTATGTTTTCTATTCAGATAATTTCATTGGTCATTTAAGCAACCAATAGAAATAGATGATAGCAGGTTTATCATGAGCTGAAGAACATTATACTTAAATGACTGCTAGGAGTGCCAAAAGTGCATTGTCACCAGCATCTTTGTTATCGACATAATGCTAGTTTTCAGTTTTCATATTTCCATAACGATTTCTTGTCATCTAGTAACAGATTGTTTCTGATCTGTTAGCATGTCATGCACTACATCGTTGAAATTATGGTATATTTAATCCGAGCTCATACGATACATTGGATATCTGAATAATATTGATATAATCGATGAGACTAACAGTAACTGAACGTTACCTTCGCCACTAATAGCTTAATCTCACTTGTGAGTCTGATTGCATTGAGGAAGTTGTTCCCATCCATCTGAATTATACTTGTTATGTTATAAACTTAATAACTTCGAATAGCATTAAAATTGTGACACGTATCGTTGTGTAATATACTGATTTGTAAAAATATACATATATACAGATTACATAAATTATTTTAGGTTTTATCTTGGAGAAAGAATGTACAGCCAATATGTTCATCTCTATCATCTATCTGCAATATAATTTCTTTCATCATAGGACTGCTGTTCACTATTCAGCCCCTGTAGCTTCGTATTTATTTTGTGTATGCATCTAACATAACAGAATGTGATGCTTGTAGATTGCATCAAGTCTTATTTTCATATAACCTATTATCGATCTAGTATTTGCTTCAATGAAATGCTTGTAAGTCATGGCATGGTGTGATTTTAAAAACTATTGGAACGTTAATTAAACTTGGCATCTGATTTGCCTGTATTGTCATGAGGTGATGGTATTTCACTTTTAAACAACAGTCCTCATATCTGAATTATAAACATGAAATCTGGCTACTGATAGTTATTTTTTAAACAAATTCCTTGTAAAATTATGTAACCAAATGTTGCCATCGACACTACACAGGTAAAGGTTTGGTCCGTAATTTTTCAAAGAGTTATAAGGGTCACATTTTAGGGAATGATTATCAGAATTGTCTTGCCTGTTGAAGAACGTTTCAATATATGCACGTTTAAATTTCTAAATATATTTGCTATGTTAACGTGGTTAATATAAACAAATTTGTGATAATATATCGCACTTCAACTCAAGGACCAGTCTCTTTCCTTGTCTGACTTTCCTGTTATTTTTTTGTTTCATTTGAAGTCTATCGTTTCTTTAACAACGCTAGCTAATCGCTCTTCGGGACATCTCTCTAAAATACTTTATAGTTGATTATTTGTCTTTAGATGTTATCCTCTAGTGTAAATGATAACTATCTGTGACATACATTTTTATGTACTTTCTATTTAGGCTTTGAAAAAGCATACATTTTCATATGCTGATGTAAATCTAAAATCTGTCTGTAGTATCATTTTAGACTGAATAAGTTTACAAGATCTTCATTTTGTATTGTAAGTACGAAGGGTAATTCAAAAGCTATGGATATTAGTGCGCTGAACAAAAAAGTTCATTAGTAGTAAGATATTCGTCTGTGCATCCCTTCACCCCATTTCTTGATGGTTCATATAAATTCGCTTCATCACTTTAAAGTTCTAATGTCGCTATATTATGTCAAATTGAAATGGTTTCGAAGTATATCAGGAATATGATAATATAATGTTGATTACCCCTTTATGTTCTTTAAATTTCTGCTAGATTTGTATATATCACGTACTCAAGCCATTTCAAAAGATTTTGAAATAACTCATGATATTTCACTGACATACCATAATTAAACACTGAAGGTAGCAGATAAGTTCTGACACGCATAACTGATGTGAAAGCAACATCCATATGAAGAATTTATCTATTAACAGTGGCAGGACTTCCTAATATTCGGACATACTAAAATAAACAAATTAGTGTATTGTCATATGTTGATAAACATCGTAAGAAGTTACAGTACTTCCGCCAAAACGTATATTTTCTTCTCTAATTTACTAAGGAACTGTCAAATAAAATCAAAGTGCTCTAAAGTATGTTCCTGTTTTAGCTAGTCAATCTTAAAGAAAAAATATATTTCTATTGCTCCCAGCCTTACACTTATAACTTGATTCTCATGTCTTATTGTATTTATCGTTTTTGAAATTTTACTAGCTGTAACTAAAATATGTTACGGTGAAATCTAGTATGTTGGTATCGTCTGCAAGCATGTTACACGTGTATA